TTCAGTAACATTTTTTTTTTTTGGTAGAAGTCACTTTTCTCCTTACGCTGCCCTAGCATTATCTATTTTTTGAGCCAAATAATTAAACTCTGACATTTGTTTTCTGTTTGTTCTTTTGGCCACAAGTAAATATGTGTTTAAGCAACAGCTCTTGCATTATGCAATATAAAAATACCAGGGCGTTTTAATTTTAGTTTTGTAGGCCGTGTAATTGGAACTCGATTTCAAATGTCATTTTAAAGGTCATATATTTTTAAATCTATAAAATAAGAAGTAGAAAGCCATGTCTCCTCCGACTCCCCGGGAGCCCTCCGCGGCGGAGCCTGTGGGCAGCGCCCCTCCTCGAGGCCCCTCCCCGCCGGTCCCGCCGGTCCCTCCAGCCCGTCCGCCGCCCGCTCGCTGCCTCCTTCTCCACCATCCCTGGGCTCCTCCAAGTCCTCCGAGTACAGGACGAGACAGACCTTCTTCACTCGTCTTTAGGGAGCACCCTCTTCTGTCGCCCTGAGTTCCAAGGGCTTTGGACACACTGACGATCCTCAGAGCAATCCTGAGAGGTGGATCCTTTTTCTTTCAGTCCTCATCAGAGGACATATTTATCAATTCGAGAGAGTCAGGAAGAAGGGGAGAGAGCGAAGCCTCAACGTAGGAGAAACGCCCATCGGTGGCCTCCCGTGTGCACCCCAACCCGGACCGAACCCGCGAGTTTGGTTACCGGAGGACACTCCAGCTGAGCGGCCACAGCCAGGGCAGACCCCATTTTTAACCCTTATTCTATGGCAGAGGAAACTGAGGCACAGAGAAGGGAAGTCGCTCGCCCGAGGTCACACAGCTTCAAATCCAGACCGCGTGGCTCCAGAATCCAGGATTTTCTTCACCAGCGGGTGGCTTCACGCCTTTGCAGAGCGTCCCCCTTCGCCTCCCTGCTCCCCCTGCCCGGCCAGACCCCGATCCTCTGCAGGAGCCCAGGAGCCCACAGGTCACTCCCTCCGTGGCATCGTCCCTGTCGGCTCCAGAGGCGCTGCGCACCTGGGCTCAGGTCTCCTTTCCCACCTCGGTCTTCACAGACCCCCCACGTCCATTTCCAGGGCCCGTCCTGCTCCTCGCTGAGGGTCACGCCCTTCAGTTCTGTGCTGTGAGTGTGGAGCAGTGTGTTGGGCCGACGGGCCCATCTGTGTTCGCACGCGGTTGAGGGACCCGTGCGTCTGACCAGCCGAGGAGGCCTGCTTGGGCCTGAGCTCCGGAACAGGCCCCAGGGACGCTCGCTGCCTCCAGCCTACTGCCGGGTGCCCTTGGGGGCTGCGGAGGGCCACTGGCTCCCCGCCCAAGCCCTCCAGGCCCGCAGGCCGCTGGCCATGGGCCGGGAACCCAGGGTCCCCTACGTGCCTCCCCACTCAGCTTCCCACTGCCCGAGGGCCTTGTCCCCCATCTCTGCCACCGTCGCCTCTGTCCTCCACTGCTTCCCACCCTTCTGTTGGCTTTTTGTGAAAATATGGGCAGAAAACACAGCTCACAAGGGAAAGATCCGGTGAGGAGTAACCACAATCAGGCTGCCGCTCCCGAAAGCGGTGATCGAAGGCAGGAGCTTCAGCCCTCGATGGGGTGACCATGGCGGTCACCTGGAAAGCCAGGAGGAACCCCAGTCCCCTTCTCGCTGAGCACGTCCCAGGCCCTGAGGGGTCCACTGCCCCCACTTCAGGGCAGACCAGAGTTCATCAGGGCTGCGATGTGACCTGGCCTCTCCGTACCTCAAAGAGCCATTGCAGCCAGGGGTCCCTGGGGTCGTCCCCTGGCGCCGTGTGGCCACACTGTCAGCTGAATTACCAGCTCCCACTGCCAACCTCCCTCCGAGGGCCTCTCCCTTCCCCCGTGTTCGTCCACTCGCACAAGCTTTGCTGGTTCGTCCACTGGTGGGACCAGTGCCTCCCACCCCTTTCCCGGCTGCTGCCTTCCCTCCCAGTCCCTCCCTCCCTCCCTCCCTCCCCCCTCTCATCTGAGCCCCCTGCCGTCCCAGGGCCCGGGATGGTCTCAGTGTGCTCGGGGAAATGGCTCTGCTCCTCCTCGGTGACTCGATCCCTCAACTGTGTGCTCCAGCACGGCTTGCGTGTCGTGTGGTCGCCTCGGCCGTCTCCGGTTTCAGGCTCACATGTAATTTGCTGGCTTTTTTCACTCCCCTGAGGTCGCGTTCAGTGTTGGTATTTTCCAAAGGCTTTATCGCCCCGCTGTTAGTCACCGTGTTTGGGATCCTCATCCTCCCCGCGATGTTTACGAGCTGGGCCTCCTTTCAGTCGCCGCCCTTCCCGATGGCCTCTGTCGACTTCTGTCCTCCTTTCCGCCTTGAGTGGGGGCTTACTCAGCTGCAGTGAACCGGGCAGCTGCCCACCCCAGTGGCACAGAGAACCGTCTTCCCTGTGAGCCAGCCAGCGCCCCTCAGAGAAGCTGCCGGAACGACTCAGACAAAGGACCTCTGATGGAAATGTTAAAAAAAACCTGAGCTCTGGCTGGTGGGATTCAGTGGAATGAGCACGGGCTGGGAACCAAAGGGTCGCCAGTTCAATTCCCAGTCAGGGCACACGCCTGAGTTGCAGGCCAGGTCCCTAGTAGGGGGTGTGCAAGAGGCAACCAGACACTGATATTTCTCTCTTTCTCTTTCCCTTCCCCTCTCTCTAAAAATAAAATCTTTTAAAAAAAGAAAAAAATATAAGATAACTGGGGCTGCTTTCTGGGAAGTGGGCGCAGGGAGCACCTGAGTTCTCTTTGTGGGTGAGGGATCATCATATCAAGGACAGAGACGACTTCCGTTTGCCATTTCTTTGACGTGATGAAAACGGGTCCGTGCTGGACGAAGGGATGCATTTAGGTTTGAGTTTGAGCTCCTCTGTCGTTACTCCTAAGGCCTGGCATGGGGGGGGTGCAGAGAGATTTTTTTTCTGGGGGGGGGAGAGGGAGGGGCAGTGTCTCCTTAAAACTGACATGCGCACTGTTCTGCCGCACAGGAGGCTGGAGTCCAGCCCGTGTAGAACGAGGCCCCGAACGCAGTTCAGACCCCGTGGGCACCCCCTGCCCTGGTCCCAGCCCTTCGGACGGCGCGCTCGATGCTCTTCTCTCCTGGTCTGCACTAACCACCCAGCTCAGCGCCTTTAGGGTTATATCCGGTTAGGAGCACGGCATACATTACAAAAGAGTGGGTTTACAACAGACATTTAAAAAATATTTTGTATTGATTTCAGGGAGAAAGAGAGGGGAAGGGAAGGAGACACTTCGGGCTGTTGCCCTGCCCATTCAGGCACTCCCCCGAGGACAGCCCTGGGCCCTGGGTCCGAGGAGAACTCGGCATGTGTCTTCACAGTCAAGACCTGTTGCTTGAAGCCTCTACAGGCGTATTTCTGTCTTACTTCTGCGGGGCTGCCCCGCCTGGGCCTTGCTTTTGGGCCTGAGGACACACCCTGTCCAGCCATGTAAACAGATGGTCGTTCGTGGACAGGGAAGGACGGCCTCTTAAGAGTCTCCTTCGGGGAATCAGGCTCGTGTGGAGACCACCAAGGGAACCCGTTCCCGTCTGACGCACGAGTGGTGAGGCTTGCAGCTCTCCACGGGCAGCCCGCCCCCCTCGGGGGCTCCCGAGGCGCCGCCAGCCGCGCTCTGTGGATCTCCCATTTACTGTAAACAGTCGGGTGAGGTACGAAAACCCCCTGTGCCGTGTTCTGCTGGCCAACGTCAACCCCAAACAGCACAGATAGGGCGCAGCTATTTCTGTCTCCAGTAGGAATCCTTAATTCCATCTGAAATGAAGATCAAAAGAAAGGAGGCTCTGTCTTTACACAATACACTCATTGACACCTGCTGCAGAGGACCACCCACGGTGCCGGGGAACTCAACATTCGAGTCTGCTGGAGGTGCTAATGTGAGAGCAGCCGTAAAGCACACTGATTCCGCTGCCGCGGGTGGGTTAGGAGAGGACCCGACCCCGGCCCAGCAGACACCCGGCGACCTTCAGAGGGCTGTCACCGCGAACTGCCGGCTCGCCTCGGTGTAATCGTGCCTTAGAACCACACACCAGGCAGGTCTCACTGAAACGTCTTAGATGTTGCAGATGACCAAACGGTACATTTAAGCTGTGTTCATGTACTTGTATTTATATACCTTGTATACCTTCTTGAGTTAAAATGGGATAAATGGACAAACTCAGGAAGATGAGTAGCCAATAGCAAAGAAATCTTAATACCAGTGGCAGTAATGAAAATGGGCCATTTGTGTGGCTACTGCAGGGCACTTCCAACCTCTAGTAAGAACTCACAGACCTGGAGTTAACTTTTCTCAGAGCTGTAGGCACCCAGGAGCCTGGCCCGTCTACGTGGGCTGCTCTGTCTGTGGTGGGGGTGGCGTGGGGGGTGTGGAAGGGGGGAGAAGCCACTGTCCCTCCCCTCGGACACCAGTGCCCAGCAAAGCCGCAGGCTCACCAGTGGACAGAATGTGGTGTCCCTTTCAAATAACCCATTTTTCCCAAGAAGCTTACACTCCCCTCTCAAAATCCAATAATAGCTTGTATTAGGTCCCCAGGGGAAGGAAGGGGAGGCAGAATAAAGGGCTTGAGAAAGGAGGGCGAGGAGCTCAGAAGGAAGAAGGGAACTTTTACAGTGGCCGGCGCTGCACTGGGGCGTCTCTTTCCTCCTTCCTTTCTCCCCCAACTCGGCAGGGGTGCAGCCCCCCACAAAGAATGAACCTGAAGCTCCTTCAGTCCCTTCCCTCTTTGTGTCTTAAAATGAAGGGGGAGAGAAGAGATAATAAAATCTTGATACCAAAGCTTCTCATAGAACCCAAAGCATTTCCAGCAGCTCCACGGGTCTGAGAGGTAACACTAGGTCACTAGTTGTCGCAGGGATTTCAAATCTCCCCCGTAAAGTCTGCGGGGTGCAACAGGGCGAGGCCCTCCCGTGACAGCGAGCGGGCGTGTGTTCACACCATCTCTTTCTCAATGGATGTGCAAACAGGAATTCCAGGGGACAACTTTACTGACAATTTTTTTAAAGGCATTACAAAACTATTCATGTAAGAAAATTCCAGTATGCAAAGCAATAATAATGAAATCTAAATTGAGTCAAGCTGACTACCCTAAAACAAGAACAGTTTTTTCCTTTTTTTCTTACTAGTTTAACCTAGGTAACAGCAACATTAACACTTTCTCTAACATAGAAACATTCATATTTGAAAAATATATTCCATATTCACAAAAGTAGAAAACCCACGCATGGACGTGGTGGCTTCCTCAGTGCTCACCTCCTCCTTGTCCACCAGCACCTGCAGCATGAAAAGTCAGCAGCCCGCACCCCCTGCCGCCCAGCGACCCCCAGGCCCCGGCATCCTCCAGGCTGAGTTCGTGGGCGTGCGGGGGGGGGGGGGGGGGGGGGCGTTCCAACAATGTGAAATGCAAAACGGATTTTTTTCTGAAGTGTTTACGACGAGTGCAGAATATAACATTGTATGTTCCTATAGCAGGTGGGGGTAAAAGTCTTCATCTTGATTTAAAAAAAAACAAAAAACAGGAGTTTTCAAATGCAGTATCAGACCAAATTGACTTTCGACCCGAAGTATTTTTTTTACTGATCAAAAATGACGTTTCGGGACTTCTGGACAGTCTCGTTCTCCTGAACCCAGCTCTCTCCAGCGAGTGTTCATCTCCAAAGTGAACGGGGGCTCCCCGCGTGGGACACCCAGTCAGGTCAGAAGCAGGCGCTCAGCCCGGCCAACTTTGATCTTCCCTCTGTGGAGATGAAAATGACCTGCTCGCAGGCGAGGCGCACGCCTGTGAACGGCCACGGAGCCAGGCTGCGGGCACGTTCACAAACATCTCCCAGTGAAGTCCGAAGTGTTTCACCTGAGTTTCCCAAAGGCACTTCTCCAGGAGCTGGCGAGCACTGAAGTTCAAGACCTGTTGGCTTACGCTGTAAAAAGGACAAGAAGAAAGCAGCAATCAGTCACTGATGACTGGCCCTGGATGGACACAGGAGGTTGGGAGTGAGTACAAGACGCTCCACTGCGTCTCCTATTTCAGGGAAAGGCGCGGACGGAGAATGTGCAGGCGCCCGAGTGGGCACCACAGGTCCGGACCTCAGGCTGGGGCCAGAGCTGTCCCAGCCACGGGTGGAGGCCCGCGAGGTTCGCTGATGTCTTGCAGAGAGAGAAACGCACGGGGTCACAAGTTAGAAGATAAAAATGTCCAAGGAAAGACGCCTCGGTGTTCAGTTTGGATAAAAGGCAGTGACTTGGGTGGGGTCGTTCTGAGCTAGAATCTCTCAGTGCGCTGATTGATGTTCAAAGAAAGGCCTCTTTCTTTTTTAACTGCAGATGAAAAGGCAGGGGGCAGAGCTGAGCTGTAGGCGCAGGTGGGAAGAAGCCGACTGGTGCTTAAATAACGCTGCTCCAGGCCGAGGCGGTGAAGAGAAAGGAGCCGTCCAGGGTCACGACTGAACTGGGCTGGCGTCTGTCGTGGCTCTAGCCACATTCCCAGTGTGTGAACACCTGGGGCGGGAGGCGGGGCAGCGCCTGGAGAGAAGCGCCACGCTCGGAATCAGCATCGTCTGCTGAGATAGGTCACTGTGCTCCGAACGCAGCTGACAAGATGGGAGGGCACACTGCCACATCGTGGTCTGACTGTGTGCAGCAGGGGCAGGCTGGTCACCTACAGGCCACTGACGGAAGGCTCCTTCTCCTGGTTTTAGTACGCGGTGTGGTCTCACAAGACTGCTTGCTTGGTGGTGGCCCATTCCAGTAGCAGGGGACCTGCTGTGTTGTCATTTCTAGAAGCTTTGGGTCTGATACGCAAACTAAAAACCAAGCCCCCCGCTGAGCTCACAGACACGTGAGCTGAGAGCCAGAGGACAGGTGGGGGGTAAGAGAAAGCAAAAAGGTCATTATCTGTATAAATACCACTTTTCTACAAAAGAGAATTCTGCATTTTCTAAGCTCAGTCACAGGAAGAGAGTAACAGATGCTCCCGCTGGAGCTGATTTTCACAGAAACCCGCTCAGCTTTGCACTCCAGCACCGAGCGCACATGGGCAGCGGTCCCAGAACCAGGTACTGGGTGGGGGCCCTTCCCCGCTCCATCCCCGTCTCAGTCCCCCCGTTGCCAGGTGCTTGTGAAATAAGTGGTGGCTGAGTTAGAGTGTGGATTCTTTGAGAGTCCCTTCACCCTCCAATTTCTAGGGCGGCCCATGGACTCATCCAGCAAACCCAAGGCGGAGGCAGGCAGTGTGATGTCAACTCCTGAAGTGTTTACAAGGCCTCCTCTGCCCATTGGTTTAGATGACAAAAGCGTGACTGTCCTCAAATAGAAACACAGACTGTGGAACCCTTTGGACATAAAAACCAAGGCACCTAATCTAATATCAACCTTGAACAGGACAACCAGCTACGTGAAGTCATTTTTGGCAGAAAATGCAGATCAAACTGCAGACTCCAGGTCCTCAGTCTGGTAGGGCCACCTTCACCACGGGCACGAGTGTGACTGCCAAGCCGGTTCTGGCGGCGGCTGGAGGCTCATGGGCTGCGGGCTGGGCGCACCAGCCTCTGCAGTCCCGCCTGCAGCTCGGAGGCCTCTGGTTTAGGGCAGACACAAAGCGCCGTGGGCGCCTGCGGCCCTGTCCTGGTCTCCTCGGGGTTCCGGCTCACAGAGGTGGTCTGGCTGAAAGGCTCGGAGCCAGCAGTTCGGTTCGGTCAGCTTTTCCCCCCGCAGAAGCCGCGCAGGTCCGGACTGCGCGGCCCGGGAGCGTGCCGGGGGCGTGCGTGCCGGTGGGCTCCTCACAGGCGCTCCTGTTCCTAGAAGAGAGACAGAAGGACAGCTCTGAAAACTTACATGACTTACAAATTAGAGCCGCAAAACCGGAGCTGTGAAAACTAACATACGTAACTTTTACTTGTAATGCACGTGAATTTGATCACGTACAAGACGAGAAGCTCACGCGATGGGATTCAAATACCCAGGTACCAGTGTGCTCCAAGAATAAAATAAAGATTCCCTAACAATTCAGAGCCAGTAGCACCTAGAAATTCACCAGCAGCACCTAAAAGATGATCACGTGACCCACAGCAAACGAAATGTATCTGCAAACAATTCCGCAGATTCTCAACCTCATTTAAACACCAGAAGCTTGTTTCTGTGTTGCGCTCCTTTGTTGGTACAGCTCTTAGGAGCCTTTGGCCCTCGTTTGAAAGACAGAAGATGATTAATGAACAGGGCCACTCTTTGTCTTCAACTTTAAAGCATTGAATTATTGGAGAAAGGTTCTTAGGGCCTCCCTGGAGGACAGACGCTCCTCACGGGGCCAGTGTCCTCTGCAAAGTGGAGCCCTTAGGTCGGTCCTCACCACAAAGGGGCAGTGACCTCACTTCAGGGGGGACGGGCAAGGGGTCGCCCAACCGCAGGTGACTGCCACTGAGTACGTGAAACCTCCCCTTGCAGCACCGACTCTTCAGGAGCCTGTGTCCCACTGACGCGGCGCTGGTGACGTATTTGGTGAGTTTATGGAGAAAGTTTTCCCCTGGGTCTAAGGAGATGATCTGAAAACAGAAACTTCTGAAGCGCTCCGATAACCAGAGGGAGTTGAGTCTGATACGGCCAGCAATAGATACAACGATAACCACCTTCAAGCTACCGTGGGAGGTGGACTACACCCATCTGCCAAAAAGGAAACAGATTTCAATGGATTAAAACACTAGAAGCCAGGTCGCTTCGTGTCTCCCCTACTATTCATTCCTTCCCTGGTTCTATGTTGACAGTTAAAATGTTGGCTGAAAAAAACAAAACACCTCTTTCTGTAAGAGGCTGGCTTCGTTCTCCCAACCATCTTAGAAAATGCTGTCCCGGATGTGAGAGGCCTGTTCCCTTCCGGGGAGGGTTACAATGACCTCGTACAGACCCACAGAGGCTCTGGCACCTGTCTGCTCAGTCCCGAGCCCTAACTGTCATCACCAGCACCGGGTAGTCTCTGACCACTCACAGGAAACCCGCTGTGTAACAACAGCGTTGTCGGAAACACACACAACACGCATGAGCTGTTCACCAAGTAAAGACCAAAGTGCCGTGATGCAGCCGCAGTACACACACGCAGCAAACCACACTGCGCACCTTTAACCTGTACGGTATTATATGTTCCCTGTATCTCAATAAACCTGGGGGAAGGCAGGGGAACAAATGTTAACAAACTGACATTTTAAGTGAATGCCTGGGGAGGAACGCAAAGTTTTATTTTAGATAAATAAATTAATCATTTAAAAAATTGGAAAAGGCCCTGCAGGCTTACACGGCTCCCAGACAAAGACCCAGGGCTTTCCTGACTCATGAACGAGCTCATCCCTGAGAGCCAGGCAGAGGGAAATTGGCCCAGGGGAGGTGAAGTCCTTTACTTTGGTTCCTAATAGTAAGCTGCTGAAATCGGATTTTTATGAGAAGTAAGTATATTCTCTACCTGGAGAAGTAGCCTGTTGAGGGAAGTCTCAATTGCTTTTTGGAATTGAATAGATTGAGAAAAACAGAAAGTCGAGTTAAAGACTCCCCTGACCCTTGACACAGAGAAGAGGGCCTGTTCCCCAAAGACGGGCAGTTGCCAGCCCTCCAGCTTTCTTTTGAAGGTTAAGCTTCCGTCAGTAAGTTTCATTTGGAAAAGGCAACCAAAGAGAAAATGCATTTCAGAATCTGGAAGAGATTATCTCTTAGAATGGGCTCAAAATATCATTTGCTGTTTTCAATTTTAGAGCAAAAATGGAAATGATTTACATTTTAACAATTTCTTTGCTGAATTCAAAATGTCTTATTTAGAGTTACTGAAATTATGTGATAATTATTAGGTAACCCATCTTGGAAAACTAATAATGTTTCATTAATAAATTACACTGTGCGACTTGAATGTAACACTTCCTCATTTATTTTATTCGTAATCATAACTTTCTTTCCTTGATGATTTATGTTGAAAATACCTTTATAATCACCTTGAAAATGCTCTCTGAAAAGGAATTCATATCATTAGACTCCTCTTACATATACTAAACTACGTTCCTCAGTGTTTAAATTCGTGAACCCATGATAATACCGCTTATCAGCCGTGTGTGCACCTGGCCAACAACAGAAACAGAAAAGGTCCGCGTTGGTTTTTACACGACTGGTACCAAGACGTTTCGTTCTCTGCATCACGGCACTGGAGACCAGCTTCGGAGTTAAGATGAGTGGTCGGTCGTTCTGTGGGCAGAGGACACTCCGAGAACTGGAGTCCGCAGGAAGCGCAGTCCTTCCAGTTGCTCGGACCGCCCCCCACCCCCAGGGTCATGTGCAGGAGGTAACGTCTGTGAAGGTCCCTTAAACAGGTTAGCTGTCCGTGCCAACCGCGGTGAGAAAAAAGGCGGAGGTTGTCCTTCAACCTCCTATACTGAGAGCCGAGCTCGGGCTACACGTTGGGGGTCCTAACACTCGTTCGGGGTGCCCGGTGGGCACCTGGCGGGGCAGCGGGGTCCTCCCACTCCTCCGGCCCGGGCCCGCGCCGGGCTGCCTGTGCAGTCACTCATGATTGCCGTGCAAGTCACAAAAGCTGGGGGACAGCGAGCAGTCTCCCCGGCCGCGGTGGACGCCTCTCCTCCATTTTCGTCTCTGCCTCCGGCTTCCTTCCTTTTGAGAAAGCCAACACTCTTCTCTCCAAAGTCGATGCAATTTTTAATAGAATTCCCTATAAATTCTCTGTAGAAATGTAGTTCATAAAAAGGACGGCAGGTTTTGACGTCACCCTGGTTCTGACGTCACGTGGTTCTGACGTCAGCCCGCTTCTGACGGAGGCAGCGAGGGCGCATGCGGGGACACTGTGTTGGCCTCCAGGGCCCAGCTGGGGCGGCACCGACACTGGTGGGGGCCTCCCCGGTCCTGCAGGGGGGCGGGGGACCCCTGCGCGCCCGCGTCCACGAGCCCGGCCTCCTTGAGGAAGAGGATGCGCGCGCTCACGTGGAGCAAACATTGGGAACGCGGAGCGAGACCCAGCCGCGGCCACATCCTCGCCTAGAGGACAAAGCAGGTTCCGGGCTTAGGTGTCCCTCTGCTGCTCTGCCTCCAGGCCGGCATCGGCCAGAAAGACCCGTCTGCCTGCAGCCCCCGCTTCCCCCGAGCCTCCCGGTAAATCCCTTCACCTAGAAGGTTCTGATGCTGCAGCAAGTCCCTGATCACAAGCAACGATCGATTTCCACCCGAACCGATCGGGTGGTCAAAGCCGATCTAGAAACCCCAGGAGAAGACAGTCGGGGAGGTTCGTGAACTTGAGTTCGACTGAAGTGCCCGTAAGTGGGCGTCAGACCAGCACAGGAAAACGAAGGCCAGGAGCCGTTTACAGACCGGCCCCCCCACCCGCGACTCCCCGGGCGAGGAGTGCGGTGGGGGCGGGGCGCTGGCTGAGACGTGCTGGCCCAGGAACGCGGCCGTGGGAACTGCGCGGGCTCACTGCCGGGTGGATGTTTTTTCTAAGACCGACGACATACAACACTGTAAGTATATTTCTCTTATGATTTTCTTTATAACATTTTCTCGAGCTTACTTTACTGTAAAAATACACCATATAATCCATAAAACACAAAATATGCGTTAACCGACTTTTATGTTATCACTAAGCCTTTTCCTGTCGATGCAGGGGTGGGAGAAAGATTTACAGTTGTGTGTGCGGGAAGTGAAGTTTATTGTGTTATTATTGACTGCTTATTTCCTATACAGTGCTGTAGTAGGCTATATTAGTTGTTAAGATTTTTGGAGGGTCCAAAGTTTTACTTGGATTTTCTAACCCTACTGCAGGGGGGTGGGGATTTGGCGCCCATAACTCCCACATTGTTCAAGGTCAACTGCAGTTAGATTTACAAAGAAGAATTTAAAAAATGCTGCAAGATTGTGGGTTCATTCCCCAGTCAGGGCACATACGAGAATCAACCAGTGAGTGCATGAAAGAAGAGGAAGAGTAAGTCGATGTTTCTCTCTCTCTCCCTCCCTTTCTCTAAATAGTAGTAAATTTTAACAAAATTGTAAATAGTTTCCCTTTATAGCCTTATACATTACCTATTAGTTTTTAAGATCTTGAAATTTAATTTAAAATACCTTCTTCTGTAACACATAAGACATTAGGACAGACGACGACCCCCCTGTCACGCCTCCCCCCCCCAATGTCACGACTGGAAAGGAATTCCGTCCCCTCGGGTCTTCCGCACGGAGTGGGCCCCGGGCTCACCTGCAGAGGCGTCTGAGGGGCGCGGTCTGGCTGGATTCTGCTGGCTGGCACCTCCTGAGTGGGCGCCGGTTCGGCCGGTGAGTTGGATCCGAGGAAATCAGGAGTTTCTGTACAGTTCTCGGAGGGAGCTCGGATCGCGGCAGCACCGCCAACCAGACCCTGACTACTGTTGGGAGTCAAGGACCCGTCTCCCAGACTGAGGGAATGGACGTCTTCTCCGGTGAGTTCCGTGCAAGAGTCAGGAAAGGAGACATCGTCGTCGGAAACGGGGCTCCGCATCAGAGGCCAGGCGTCTGAAAACTCGCCGGAGACGGACAGGGAGAGGGACCCGAAGAGAGCCGGCGCCGTCTCCCCGCGCGGACCTGCGTTTCTGAAGATGAGTTCAAAAGGCCTTAGCCTGGTGTGCAGCAACCAGGGACCCTGCCGCAAAGCAACGTCAACTGTGCTTCTACGTCTGCTGGGGCAATGGCCTCTTGTTAAGTCAGAGTTCTAGCTGTTACAAACCAGCTTCAGTGCAATAATCCCTCCATTTACTTGAAAACTGAATTAATGTACCTACTTTTAATCAATGTAGTTATACTTCATACAGTGCTAAGACATGTGATTTCTCAGGTTTTAACTGAATTTCAGTGCTGTTCTAAAATTCCATGGGTGTACGACATGTTGGAAATTACTTGCAGGTGACAGAAGTGTCACAAATCATAACTGCAAGACAAAAATAAACTTAACTGAGTGCAACAAACAAAAAGTGTTGCACTGGGTGTTAGGAACCTGAGGGACTCACCTGATTCTTGCCAAACACACGCCCCCTCCAATGACCGGAAAGCCATTCCTGACGTTGAAAAGGGACGACCCCGTGAAACATTTTCAAGCGTTTGGCACGAAAGCTGGTAAATGAGGATCACGCGTACTTGTGCAAGGGATTATCAAATTATGTCGCTTCAGAGACGCCCAGTTACCTCTCCTGAAGTGTGGCCTTGGGGTGCGCCCTGCCCCCGAGCGCCGCCGGGTCCAGGCTGCAGGTGTCCTCGCAGCACAGAGATGGGACCAGGTGCACGGGCCCTGGGGGAGCAGCACAGGCGTGAGGCTCGGGGCACGTTCTGGGGCTGTCCTCTCCGACGCCAGTCCAGCCACGTGCCCGAACCTTTCACTAGTCCCCTTCGGGTGACTCTTTAGGGACGGGGGTGAGGCTTAACTTTTTTCTCTATTTTATCTTTAAAAAACTGGTGAGCCACTCATATGAGGTACCTGGAGTGGTCAAATTCAAATTCATACAGACAGGAAGTAGGATGGCGGTTGCCTGGGGGAGGGGAGAGGGGCACGGGATTCAGGCTGGGAGGAGGGACAGGTCGCGGAGATGGCTGGTGGGGACCGTCGCACAGCGACGTAAATATGCTTAATCCACTGGACCATGCACTTAAAATTATTGAAGAAAAAATTTAGAACTAAAGAGATTAGATGAAGATAAATCTTCCCCAGCCCTATAAACTGGAAATACACACCGTCAATATTGGGTGAACAGCTTATTAGAGGTTCCTCTATATATGCACATAAACACATAATTCTAACGTGGTAAAACCATAAACACATGAAAGCATATAGCTAAGTACAAAGACACACAGAAAAAGACTAGAACTAACTATATATTGACATGTACATATAAGTGTATATTCAAATTTAAGATGAGGATTCTCTCTTTTATAAATAGGAAAATATTAATATGAAACTATTTCCCTTTTGAAAAACGCATGTTGTGTACTGCGATGCAGTTGCAAATCGGTGCTAACGGGGTGGACACCCAGCACGCTGCCACCTGGGTCCCTTGAAGAGCAGGCCTCGCCTTCTCGGGCTGTCTGAGCAGAGGCCACTGGGACCACGGGCGCTGGCCTGGGTTCTCTGCCAGGGTCTCCATGAACACGTGTCATGTGCACTGTGGCATTTTTCCAAGTTACTGAAAAGCAAAAGGCACCGCCGTTCCTTATAGAATTGGCTGATTCTAGGGCTCAGTCAGAAAGTACAAGATGTCCTTTTCATAGTGGGAAGTCAGAAAGTGCCAAAAGAACGATGGTTGGAGTTAGCGTGGCTCAGGAGCCCCCTTCATTGGCCTCCCACTGGTCAAGTCCGGGAGGATCTGAGCATCAAAATAAATGATGAGAGCATGTGACTGCAACCCAGTGAACAGGGCCCAGGAGTCCACACTAATTAAAGTGACTAAATAAATAAGTAAATGCAGAAGATGGGGAAGTTCTTTCTGACCTTAGGAAGCCAACTGAATAAATGCAGAGGGAATGATGGAATTAGGAAACCTGAGATTGTTACCTGAGATTGTCAGTCACTGCAGCAGTGACTGACCCGGGTAGGTAGGGGTCATCAGAGAATGCTAAACTCCTTAGCAGAAGCCGGGAGGTGAGAGGATATTTACACAGTCTCAAAGAATCCCCTACGAGGTTTGGCTCATTGCAAAGGGAACAACAGTAGTTTTACAGCAGAGAAAGCGTGCAGATGCCACCTTAACAAAGCGGCTGGAGGTCCCCTGGCCAGGACTGTGACAGACACACCGGCGCCTCCTGGGTATTTCTGAATCTGCTCATCACTGAAGGTCAGAAAACCCAGACTGGGGGTCACTGTACGAAATCCCTGGCCTGTGCTCATCAAAAATAGTAATGTCATAAACCACCAAGGAAGATTAAAGAAGTGTTCCAGATTAAATGAGAGGAGAGAGAAGAGAACTAAGTACGACAGTGTTATCTGGAATTTTTCTTTTGCTGCAGAGGACATTATTGAGATAATTTTAAGAGTCTCATCATATGCTGTAGATTACACAATAGCAATAGACTTCATGTTAGTTTCTTGATTATAATCTTGCTGTTATGTAAGAAAATGTTCTTCTTAGGAAATAAACACCAAAGTATTAAGGGGTGATGGGACAGCAAATCTGCAAACAATTTTTAAATGGCAAGTGGAAAAAAATTGTATATATGTTTATACACACACACACAATGTGGGTGTATCTATACAGAATATACAAACATGTATTTTGTATATATGTATACACACACAACTACCATACTTAGACATAAAAATGATAAAGTAAATATCAAATGAGATAAACGTTAATATCTGGGGAGTCGGAGTAAAGCGTATGTGGAAGTTCTCTGTCCTAGTCTTTCAACATCTTTGCGAGTCTCAAAATGTGTCCAGACAAAAAGTTCAGAGCAGAAGGGCGCTGCCGTTCGGGAGGAAGCGGTTTGTGGGGAGACCTCCCCGACCTGGTGGTAGCATGGGGTGGCTGAGCGCGGTGTTCTGTTAAGGGGACAGGAGGCGAGGTGACCTGCGTGGCTAGACGCAAGTTCAGGTGAGGTAGAGTTCGCCAAAGCTGCCTCTTACTGCATTTAAAATTTGAGTTCATCTCTCAGTTGTCCTCTGCCCCCCCCCAGGTCAGTGTCAGAGTCACCATTTACAGTCTAGGAGACGGTGCCCGGGTGCAGTGCGGGCGACCTCGCAGGGTCTGTGTGGACCTGGGCATGGGCAAAAGGAGAGCCCCACACACCACAGAAGCCTTACATCTCATTCTCGGACCTAGTCCTACAAAAGAATATAGTCATGTTCGGTAGAAAAATAATCCTGTTGAAAACTCCTCATTTCACATGTAAAACATTAGGTGGAAAAACTAAATCCTGCAATCTCTTGCAAAGAAAGATTGGACAGTGTCAAGGGGATAAGTCCGTCTTGTTGGGGCACATCTCCCGCAAAGAATGAGACCTCAGGGTGCTGTTCGTGTTGCTTCAAAGGCGTTGGGAGAACTGGGCAGCGAGGGAGAGGGGTGCAGGGGTGCGGCCGGGCCAGCCACCTCGAGTCTGGCTTTGCGAGGAGACCGGGGTCCGTATGGTCGGGATAGGAGTGGGGCGCGGCCGGGTGGAACCCCGTGTTGATGGATGTAAGTAAGTGCCAAAGGAAGCTGGCACGGCCTTGCCCGCGTTTCCCGTGTTAGAAACCAGCTCCCATGAAGCACTTCCCTAAACGTCCGTTTCTGTCCGTGGTCTAGCAGGCAGCGCCGGTGTGCGGGGCACTGCGGGAGCTGCCGCCTCCCTCTACCCTGAGAAGCCCCATGGCAGGAACGCGGCTTCGAGGGCCTTCCGCGTGAACCCACCAGGCAGGAGGGGTGCACGTCCCTACTGGGCACAAGCTTGATCGCATTTGAACTGGACCGACTCAAAACAACAAGGGCAAACCTGCTCCAACAGTTGCTGAAAACTTCTAGGATTTTTCACAAGAAGACCATTTTCTTTTTAACATCTTGGAGACACGCCACAGGCCACACATCAGAGGACAGTGGGGAATGGTAACTATGGGGCGCCCCCGGTCCCCCGAGGGACTTACCGCAGGTCGGGCCCAAGTCCCGGTGGCACTGGCAGCGGGCTCGGGGAGCGGACTTGTGGAGCTGAGGTCTGTCGAAGCAGGACAGCTCGGAGCCGCTGTACTGAGTGTCCTGAGCCCGCAGGGACCCTGAAGGAGGGGACGGTCCGTCAGGGAAGAGAGTCTCCTCTGGCAGGGCTTCCCTCCCAGCACCACCCAGACCCAGCACGACCCCGGCACTGGCAGTGTTGAAGCAAAAGAAGGCTGTCCCTTCTTTTAAGTCACACTTTAAAACGCCTCTCCTTACGTGGACACACAGATATGATGTCATTTGTCAAGAAAAAGTCAAAATGGAGAGGACCGTATGTTGCCAGGACTTGGAGGAACGATTTTTATTTTTGCCTGTGCAGGCCCAGGAACATCCTTTTTCAATGTCCTTGTAAAATATTGGTGCCATCTACCTATCTGCTCCCTCCGTGCTCCTCTGGGACCAGAGTCTGAGACCGATTGTCACGGTCCCTCTGTCCCTTTAACCCGCAGGTGCCCACGGTGACAGACACACGTCCCATCCCCAGCGCTGACAGACAGAAGGAGCCCCGGACTCACAGCTGGGCTTCTTCTCCGTCAGCTGCCTCTTACAGTAGATGGTGCAGAGGGTGAGCAGGGCCAGCAGGACGGCGGCCAGGGCGCTGCAGATGACCGCAGCCAGGGCCGTGTCCCGCGGGCTGGAGGCCGCGGACGGGATCCTCACGAGGTTCACCTTGCTGGTGCCTGGAAGCCAAGGGAATGGGATCAGCCACCCAGGAGACCCAGAGAGAGGCCTGCCCTGACCGTGGCTGTCAGCCCTGGCCGGGGGCCTTCCCGCGGAGAAATCCAGCCCCGGGAAACCAGCGGGAGGTGGGTGGAGACGGCTGGAGCGCCCCCTGCTCTCGGTTTCTTGAACACGACACCCCCACCCTGAACCCTGTGGGCACGCTGGTGGCAGGAATGGGCCTCAGTCCCCTAGACCAGAACCGTTTGCCAGGTCAGGAATTTGTTATCTTTACCTCTGTGTCCCCAGTGCTTAGCAATGCTTTTGGCTCATAGTAGGTACTTAATATTTATTGAGTTGGAATTAAATTGCCTTTTTAAGCAGACTGAACGGAGGTGTGCTTTGGGGGGGCGACCTCAGGGAAAAACAAGGAGTTAGATTATTCATGACCTCACATTACAGCCCCCCCCCCTAGTTTCTAAGACAGTAGACGTTTTAAAATCGTAGCCATTCGATTGCCGAGTTGATATAAGGTGTGGAGAAAAGACGGGCAGTGCCGTCACATGAGGAGAGGCGGGCACACCGGCGGGTTAAGAAAGCGCCGAGGCAGAGGTTCCGTTTTAGAGGACAGAGCTCCATCGTGGGCGAGGGCTGAGGTCCTGGGACCTCCTGGTCGGCTCAGCAGACAGAGGTGTGACCTTGAGCCCACTATGTAATGTCTCGGAGCCTCCAGCCCACATCTGCTCAAAACAGAGGTGCTCACAGGGCCTGTGTCACCTGGCTGGTGGCAGGAAGAAGCCGGTGATCAGGAAAGCTGCGCAATGGAGAGCACACCCAGCCCGTGGTTTCTGGGGTGCGGGGATGCACAGACGCAGCTCAGAAATGTGTCGGGGGGGGGGTCATATCGCATCCGATTTAGCCTCGAAATGATTTCAGAGGTGGGAGCCTGGGTAAGGGGGCGGCTCTGTTCTCTGACTCCCAGGGACCGCCCTCCAGCAGAGCGGGGGGGCCCCATTTCACTCCGGTAGTTTCTGCTCTCAGCTCCTTAGCGACACCCGGCACAGCTCCCCTCTGCCAGGGTCTCTAGGCTCCTACTGCCCCACAGGGACACATGCCTCTCAGTAATTTTAAGTGGTTGAGAATCCACATTAAAAAAGTAAAAACAGGTAAAATGAATCTTTTTCTTAACCCAAATATTACTATTTCAACATATAGTCGATATCAACATTGTTACTGACTTCTGCATTCTCTGTTTTGTACAAAGACATCCAAGCCGGGTGTGATTTCTCATTAACAGTGCATCTTGGTGTGGACAAGTGCTCACTGGCCACTGTGGCTCAGGGCTGCCCCTGTGACTGTGGCAGCTCACGGGACCAGAGGCTGGCAGGTGCGTTGTGCACCGTGGCACCTGTACCCGAGCCCGCTCATTAGCTGGCAGCCTCTCCTCCTCCCGGCTGCAGGTGGCCCTCCCCTCACAGGACTGGTGTCCACTGTAGGACTCTGGAGGCTATAGCCAGATAGAACCATTTGGATTAATACTATTGAGTCATAAATATAGCAGAAATGGCTGTCTCGGAGCACGGAATCGTGGTATTTCCTGGGTCAGTGATTCTGCCAGGCTGAGAGAAGTTTCTTATTGCCACCTGGGAAGACAATCGGTATTCAGGATTTATATAAACTGTATGCCTTGGCTAAACAGGGATCATAACCCGGTCCCGAGTGTTGACGAGTATGTGTTCATGAACATGGTTAACACAGTTCATCTCTTAGAGCTAACTTCATGCTCTCAGATACATACCAGTAATCAAAGAACACACATTAAATGTGCACCACGCATCAAGGTGAGGGAATTGCTGTGCCCACTGACCTGACAGAGATTAAACCTGAAGCTGAAGCGGCCTCTATGGGGACAGACTCACAAGGACAGAAAACACAGGGACAGCTGCACACACACAGACACGCAGGTAACTGGTGGGGAATTTAAATCCTACGCCAAGAGAATAGCAGGCCTTCCGGGAGGGGAGGGGGTTTGGGGAACCCGAGGGTTATCTGTGGGGCCACACGGGAGCGCGTGGAAGACGGCCACCCACTCCCATCTGGGAGAACAGGGGACACTTCGGGGCGGCAGCAGGTTCCCATCCAGCCGCCCGCTCCAGTCGCCCCCAGAGGGAGACAGACCGAGCAGGTGTCGAAGCATCTGATCGCGTGGAATCACTAAGATTCATCAATTAACTCGGCGCTGGGTGCTCGGAAAACCCCCCGAGAGCAGGGATTTTAGGTGCGTGACCTGTCAGCTCTTGTCTACGATCTTCCTAAAATGCATTAGTCGACTTCTGTGTCTTCCTGTAAAAAGGAACGGTTTCTGACTTACAAATAAACTAAAATGCCCCCAAATGGGAATCTTATTTTTTTATCTGATGGCTGTGATTCAGGATCTATTTTCCCCAAGCCAAGCATAAAAGACAGAAAACAAATACTCGAACGGCAGCAATACAGAGTGGCCACGGTAACGTCGGTTTCAGAGGCAGCGAGCCTCTTCTCGCTGCGTCTGCAGGGAACCAGGAGAACGCGGCAGGGCCGCCCCTCAGCCTGGGACACTGGGTAGCGCCCCCTCCGAGGGCAGTCGGGCTCTGGTTCTTGTTCCTATGTGTGCGTTTATGACTCAGCAGACCTAATCTTTTCTGTGGGGAACGGGCTCATCGTTCGTGGTTTGCTCGCCACAAACGAGGGAGGTCAGTGCAAAGCAGAGCCACACTCACAGAAGGAGGGGCCTGGAAACCCAGGCAGAGTGCCCCCAGGAGCCGACCCCGCAGCGGCTGTCTTTGCCAGTCCTTCCCGCCTCTCTCCAATCCCTCCCACCCCCCATTCAGTCACCTCTGTAGTTTTCCCACCCTAGTGACACTCCAATCCGGGAGAGCGGTCTGCACAGTCCGCCCTTCAGGTCTGCATCGCCCTTCAGGTCTGCATCGCCCTGCATCAGTTACAGAAAGCAAACTTCAGCATTGCAGAAGAGAGTTAAAAATTAGTGACTGCACGGTGTAGCTGCCTGCCAGGATCGCTGAATAAATCTTTGCGTGAAACTGAAACCAAGATGTGCTTTGGCAACTTGGCTACACAAAAACAAGAGGAGCAAAGCTTAGTGGGAGTTCGTAGCAAACAGTCAACATGACTTAATCAAGATCCTGTCACTTCACAAGCAAGATTAAGTAGATTAAGAAAGCACAATTTTTTTTCAAGTGAACGATAGGAGGATTAGAGTAGAATTTGCATCTTTTTCCTAAGGAATCATTCTGATCTTACTTTTCAGGCACACCCAACCATGTGTGTGTATTTTTTTCCTTTGGCTTGGCATTTCTGTTTACCAGCATTTGAGATCAGTAAACATTGGCATCTCTTCTGACATCTGTATCTAGAACCAAAAAAGCTCTTCCTGCCAGACCAGTTTCCAAACATCCTCTGAGGGCTGTTTCCAAGCCAGGGCCCTGAACTGTTTTTACTGACTTTCCTTTTTGAACAAAGAGCGCATCAAAACGCAGTCCAGCTACGCAAGCGTTTTTCCTTTGTTGAGCAACACTGGAACATTTGTTTATAAATACGGAATTTCTAGCTCGATTCCTTCTTTTTAAGTTCCCTCCTGGAACGGCCCTAATTACCAGTTCTGTCATGATTTCAATGCAAGTGAACCGAGGAAGAACCCCGAGGTAGCCCCGAGCCTGCTTGCTTTTCATACTAATACACGTGAGTCACGAAGACGGCTTTATTATAAGCAGAACCCACCCCTACAAAGTAAACTTTTAGAGCTTTATTTCCCACCTGGCCACGTTGCATCTAAGGGTTACGTAGCAAGTGCACGCAGGGTGAAAGGACACCCCAGAGCCCAAGAAACCCGTCCTGCACCCCCCATGGCACCGACAGCTGCTCCCACGTGGCCTTGCAGGGTGGGGCTGCCTGGGTTTCGAGCACAGCTCAGAGCAGCAGACCCTCCGATGCCCCAGGGCCTTCGCTCCAGGGGGCAGTTCTGACCCGACCATTTCCGTTTGCCTCTGGGCTGCCTGCTCATCATCTTTCTATTCCCATTCCCAGCCTGTTACCATGTTCACTGGGAAGGGACCACGAAGAAATTGCTAAATGTCCTTGGAACTGGGCGGCAGGCAGGGGGAGAGAACGGGGAATATCATTACAGTTGACCCTTGACCACTTTGTGTGTGAACTGCTTATATTGGGGTTTTTCTCAACAAGTACCTACACTGTTTCCGGCCCACAGTTGGGAGCCCGCAGAGGCAGAGGGCCGACTGTACGCATTGACCTGCAGCTCTTCTACACAGGGGACCTGAGCACCTGCAGATCTGGGGGCCCACGAGGGGTCCTGGAAGCAGAAGCTAAGTTTTGAGGGAGTCAGAGTTATATGAGCCTTCTTTGGAAAAGTGTCTGCTCAGGCAGGCCCTCTGCCCATTTTTATTTTTATCAAATTGCTTGGTTTTTTGGTGTTGAGTAGAGAAAATTAGGAATAGAGTTACCATATACCCAGCAACCTCTCTTCTGAATATCCCCCCCCCACACCTGAAGCCACATATCATCTGTAAAGGTACAGGCACCCGTGTCCACTGCAGTGTTCTCCGTGATATCCAACACTCGGAGACCAACGAAGTGACCTTCGGCGGGTGGCCGGGTACAGAGGACGTGGCCGTGTGCACGAAGGAACACCACGCAGCCAGAGAAAAGAGGAAGTACTGCGTTTGCGACAGCGCGGACGGACCTTGAGAATGTCGTGCTAAGTAAGTGAAAATAGATGGAAAAGGACAAGGACTATGTGATTTCACTGACGTGGACATGAAACAAAAAGCAACCAACAAACATACAAGCAACAACAAAACACCTCACAGGTCCAGACAACAGAAGGGTGTGGCAGCAGCGGGAGGGGAGCTGAGAGGGGGACGAGGAAGGTCCAGGAGGTCAAGTTCAGGCCGGAGGACATGAGACCTCAGTGGTGAGCCCTTGATACAGATGTTGTATTATAAAG